TCAGTAGTGGTAATATAACCCTTCCCAACTCTATCCAAATACTAAAATAACCACTTGACCTCCGGAAGATTTACCCCCTTCATGACCAGGCTTTTTTTTGCTATTCGGCACTTAACTGGTAATTGCATGGTTATGCAACACTGTAACCAAACAAAATGTCTATGTATTTGCCTTTACGCACAAGCATGGGGGGAAACTGAAACTGAAGTGATGAAATGCTTGTAGCTTCAGGTTTCTCAGAACATAAAGATGATTGGAGCCATTCCTGTCTCCGGTCAGCTCTATAGCTGCATTCTCGGGTTCCCCCCGATGGGGCGGGACAGCCTGAGAAGGCCGTGGAAGACAACGTGTGTGGGGGGGGGGGGGGGGGTTGGAGTTCAACATTCCCTTCTGCTTTGAAAAGCAGTCCAGTGGCTAAATAGTTTCTAGGATTGCTTTCACATGAATGCCAGCTGAAAAAAAATTACACCAGCATTTCTCAAGCAGGCTTTCTCTTCTCCCCCTTTCTAAGTTGGGTATTTAAAAGCTGGTAGGGGAAGCCCCGGAGATTAGGTCACATGGTGTCACATGAGCCAGTTCTAGGATCAAAAAGGGGTCTAAATAGTGGCACACTTGTATAAAAATTGTCCACATATAAGTGGTACTCCATAAGGAAAGAGGGTGACACCAAGAGAAGGACCCCTGTTCCTCTCACCAACTTGTGACAAAGGACCGGCCAATCTCACACTGTGCTGTTACATAACAGTGCCACTCCCAGCTGCACCCTACACAAAGATTTTCCAGCTCACAGGACCATAATCTAAGTGCCGCAGCCTGAGAGCAGTTGTCACTGGGTTAAGTTAACTAAGCAATTAACTCTTTAAGCTACCACCCCCACCTTTTGACTGAGAAGGAGGAAACTCATAATCTTATCAATAACAACTGATTTTAGAATAAACGTGTGCAACACACACACTGTCACTACAGACAGGTATGTTCAGAAATTTGTAATACAGTAACACTCTTCAAGAGACAGGGATTCTTTTTGTTTGCATTAAAAGCTTTAGGGACAGTTTAACACTTTTCAAAAAAGGGTTTAATGCTGAAAAAGTCAAAGTGGTGCAAATAAAATATTTACAGAAAAAACATGTTACAAAGAAATAGAACAGTAAAGCAATAAAGAATTAAGAAGGAGTTGAAAATGAAGAATACTGTGTCTCTAAAGTCCAGTTCGGTAATCCTTGGTTGATGTTAAAACAAGAGCTTGACAGCAGGTCCTGCCATTCTCTTTTTCTGTGGTATCAAAGGGGTGTTGACAGAGACCATCTGACCAATCATCCAGTTTAAGGGGTGGGTGCTGGGAGGTCACCACGTTTATGACCAAGTCCCAAATACAGTTCTTTATTGGTATGCATATTTCTGAATACCTACCGTTTACAGTCTGCTACCATGCAGATTATTATCCTGCATAAATTAGCTTTAAAATAGATATAGATATAGCAGGTATCGGATATCTGTTTATCATAGGAGGGGTGTGGTGGGGCCTGATCCACTCCAGTACCTCTTAGCATAGGAATGTTTGTGTTCAAAATGCTTCCCAATAACTGAGGGAGGTAAATATGTCTATATTCTGGCTGTGCTGTAATGATTTCATGAGTTATGAAATATGCTGAAGTTTTGGAATCTAGGCTGATAAGTGGACTATCAGAAATGTGTATTCCAGAAAGGTATTTATGACCCAAGATCTGTTAGGTCTCCGGATTGCCCAAGTTTCCAAGGCTACAATTTTATAAGGGTTTTCAGACTGGAATGGAGGATTGGGCTAATGGAAAGGTCTGTGTGTCTGATCGATGGATTGATAACAATCCTGGCATCAGTTAACAGTTTGTGTATTGTATAAACTGAAGGACGGAGGGGAGAAAGATCACTGGGTTATGTCTTCTTATGATAAGATGGCATAGGAGACTTGTGACTCGACAAAATGGCTGTTACACACACAGCTATTCATGTGTCCAGTACACACGACTATTACACCAAGTCCCAAACTATCTTGCTACTTCTTCTCATGTAGTTTGGGCATCCAGGGAACTCCACGTTTTCCCTTGTAAAACCCCAAATCACTTGCATAGCCTGTTTCCCTCTCACAGAGCTTATGCATTTTGACCCCATATCTGGCTTGCCTGCTGGGGAGAAACTGTTTGAATGCAAGGCAGCCAGAAAAATTTACGAGGGACTCATCAATGCAGATGTTTTGTTGGGGCGTATATACAGTCATGGCCAAAAATATTGGCACCCCTGGATTTCTGTCAGATAATGCACCACTTCGCCTAGAAAATTGTTGCAATTACAAATGTATAGGCATTTTCATGTTTATTTATTTTGTTTGTATTGGTATGTCACAAAAAAGTGGAGAAACAAAAAACCAAATCTGACACATTCCACGCAAAACCCCAAAAATTAACCGGACAAAATTATTGGCTCCCTCAATTTAATATTTGGTAAAACTGAAATCAGTTGCTTCCTGTAACCATCAAAGAGTTTCTTACACCTCTCTACTCAAATTTTGGACCACTCTTCTTTTGCCAACTGTTCCAGGTCTTGGTGAAGTGGGGCATTATCTGACGGAAATGCAGGAGTGCCAATATTTTTGGCCACAACTGTGCATCTGCAAATCTCTGCCTAAGGTGATTTACAAGGAGCCAAATTTTGTGGAGCCTATCATATTCAGGGTCACCCTGAGGACGACAGAGCATATTGTCGTTGAAATATTGTCAGAGGCATATGATAAATCGTGTCTGTGGACTAATATGACCAGGACTCATTCTTTTTAGCAGTGCCCATGTTGAGGGTTAGGCCCCCAAAAAAATGTAAACACGGAAATTGTAATAGGTTTCCATGCAAATTTTCTGGCAAGGTTTGAATTTGGGTTGGCAGCGATAAAGTGATAAAAATTAAGTAAAAACCAAACAAAAAGAGTTCTGCCTTCAATACTCACCTTCTGTTTAGACTGAAGACATCCATCCTGTGACTGCAAGATGTCATGGACCCACCACGGCAGCCTGCGCTCACATGCATTGATGTGTAGAGTGCTGTTATTATCATATTTGGTGGCATAGAAAAGAAAAAGAGGACCTTTCATATCACATGACTGGGCTGAAGATATCTACTGTTGTTGTGTCGTTTGACAAATTCAGCATGCCCCAAATTTTTACTTTGCTGAGTTAGTTTCCAGTTGTTGAATATGTATTCCCTAACACTATTCATACACACACATTATATATATATATATATATATATATATATACACACAGTTGCAAGAAAAAGTATGTGAACCCCTTGGGATTACGTGGAGTTTTGCATGAATTGGGCATAAAATGTGCTCTGAACGTCATCTAAGTCACAACAATAGAAGAACACAGTCTGCTGAACATAATACTACACAAACATTAGATGTTGCCATGGTTTAATTGCACATAGCATGTAAACATTCACAGTGCAGGGAGGAAAAAGTATTTGAACCTTTGGACTTAATAACTGGTTGACCCTCCTTTGGCAGCAATAACCTCAACCAAACGTTTCCTGTAGTTGCAGATCAGACCTGCACAATGATCTGGAGTAATTTTGGACCACTCCTCTTCACAAAACTGTTTCAGTGTAGCAATATTCTTGGGATGTCTGGTGTGAATCGCTCTCTTAAGGTCATGCCACAGCATTTCAATCGGGTTGAGGTCAGGACTCTGACTGGGCCACTCCAGAAGGCATATTCTGTGCTGTTGCAGCCATTGTTTTGTTGAATTACTCGTATGCTTTGGGTCATTGTCCTGTTGCATCACCCATCCTCTGCGGAGCTTCAGTTGGCAGACAGATGGTCGTACGTTTTCCTGCAAAATGTCTTGATAAACTCTGGATTTCATTTTCCCATCAATGACAACAATCCGTCCAGGCCCTGAGGCAGCAAAGCAGCCCCAAACCATGATGCTCCCTCCGCCATGTTTTACAGTGGGGATGAGGTTTTGATGTTGGTGTGCTGTGCCTTTTTTTCTCCACACATAGTGTTGTGTGTTCTTCCCAAACAACTCAATCTTGGTTTCATCTGTCCACAGTATATTTTGCCAGTAGTGCTGTGGAACATCCAGGTGCTCTTTTGCAAACTTCAAACGTGCTGCAATATTCTTTTTGGACAGCAATGGCTTCCTCCGTGGTGTCCTCCCATGTACTCCATTCTTGTTTAATGTTTTCCTTATTGTAGATGTGTCAACAAAAATGTTAGCATGTGCCAGAGATTTCTGTAGGTCTTTAGCTGACACTCTGGGATTCTTCTTTACCTCATGCAGCATTCTGCGCTGTGCTCTTGCAGTAATTTTTACAGGACGACCACACCTAGGGAGAGTAGCAACAGTGCTAAACTTTCTCCATTTGTAGACATTCTGTCTTACTGTGGACACATGAACATCAAGGCTTTTGGAGATACTTTTGTAACCCTTTCCAGCTTCATGCAAGTCAACAATTCTTGATCGTAGGTCTTCTGAGAGCTCTTTTCTGCGAGGCATGGTTCATATCAGACAGTGCTTCTTGAAACCAGTAAACCCAAAACAGGTGTGTGTTTTTTAAGGGCAGGACAGCTGTCAGCAACACATCCAATATCATCACACTGATTGGAGTCAAGGTTGGCTCACTCCTGGCTCCAATTAGCTCTGGGAGAAGTCATTAAGCTAGGGCCTCACATACTTTTTCCTCCCTGCACTGTGAATGTTTACATGTTATGTGCAATTAAACCATGGCAACATCTAATGTTTGCGTAGTATTATGTTCAGCAGACTGTGTTCTTCTATTGTGACTTAGATGACGTTCAGAGCACATTTTATGCCCAATTAATGCAGAACTCCACTTAATCCCAAGGGGTTCACATACTTTTTCTTGCAACTGTGTATATATATATATATATGTTAATAAATCTGAAATTGACACTTGCTCTGTATATACTGTACAGCAACAATAAATCCTCTGTATTTTATTTGCAGTGAATAATCCTATTCCTTCCAATCTGAAGTCTGAAGCAAAAAAAGCAGCAAAAAATTTTAAGAGAATTTACAGAAATTAGTTCTAGATCGGGACCTGATAAAATTATTCCAGGTATGTTTGGGTTTTATAATTTAGTTTGTTGGTGTGAAAGTTGCATTTCCTTTTCAGATATGCGGCTGTGGTGGCAGTATTGGTAACCCAGTTGGGTACTCTGCATATTACTCCCAGCAATTTATAAAGGATTCACAACAGTCAGGCGATGCTTCCAGTTAAAAGCTAATCTTTGTCCCTACTGAAAAAAATGTGACATACACTATGGGGTCTATTTATGAAGCAGTAAATCAGACATTCAACAAACATTCACTGCAGCTTAAAGTGTAACATGAAAAGGTGAATTAACACCCTACAACATCCCCATTCCCCCTGGTCTCTGTTGTACTTAGCTCCTTTGGTGATGAGCTGTCAGTGACCAAGCACCTAATGTTGCCTGTTCAAATTAACGACAGGTGGCCGGCAGCACAAATTTTTACATGCATGCATGGATGTGTACATCCATGCAGGTCTGATGCATGAATCAGACACAGACAGACTGCGTCCTGATCCATGCATTAGAACCACATGGTTATACACTCCAAGATGCAGGTGGATATCTTTAAAGGTCCCTGCAGCTTGTCATTGATTTTAACAGTCTGCATGGGTTTGCACAGAACATCTGTGCATCCCACGCGAGTGAAGACAGCCCCTTAACTGAGGTGTACGGATCAGCACAGCCATGTGAATGAAGCTCAAGGTTATTTGAAATTCTCTACAGCCGATCCTGTGATATATTAAGTTTATTTCTTAATGGTTTTATTGGGTTTTTCAAAGTTTTATTACAAATGTAAAAGTCGTTATACACAAACAAGTGTAAAAGTAAAGGTAAGGAAAAAAGATAGTAGAGGCAGGTATATAGTTTATTTATTTATTTATTTATTACAGGTACTTCCAGTACCTTGAAAAAGTATTCATACCCCTTGACATTTTCCACATTTTGTCATGTTACAACCAAAAACATAAATGTATTTTATTGGGATTTTATGTGATAGACCAACACAAAGTGGCACATAATTGTAAAGTGGAAAGAAAATGACAAATGGTTTTCAATTTTTTTTACAAATAAATAACTGAAAAGTGTGGCGTGCATTTGTATTCAGTCCCCTTTATTCTGATACCCCTAACTAATATCTAGTGGAACCAATTGCCTTCAGAAGTCACCTAATTAGTAATTAGACTCCACCTGTTTGTAATATTATCTCAGTTTAAATACATCTGCTCTGTGAAGCCCTCGGAGATTTGTTAGAGAGCATTAGCAAACAAACAGTATTATGAAGGCCAAAGAACACACCAGACAGACCAGGGATAAAGTTGTGGAGGTTTAAAGCAGGGTTAGGTTATAAAAAAATATCCCGAGCTTTGAGCATCTCACGGAGCACTGTTCAATCCATCATCCGAAAATGGAAAGAGTATGGCACAATTGCAGACCTACCAAGACATGGCCATCCACCTAATCTGACAGGCCGGGCAAGGAGAGCATTAATCAGAGAAGTAGCCAAGAGGCCCATGGTAACTCTGGAGGAGCTGCAGAGATCCACAGCTCAGGTGGGAGAATCTGTCCACAGGACAACTATTAGTTATGTACTCCACAAAGCTGGCTTTTATGGAAGAGGGACAAAAAGAAAGCCATTGTTGAAGGAAAGTCATAAGTAGTCCCGTATGCAGTTTGGTCAGATGAGACCAAAATTTGACTTTTTGGCCTGAAAGGAAAATGCTATGTGTGGTGGAAAACTAACACTGCACATCACCCTGAACACTCCATCCCCACCGTGAAACATGGAAATCATGTTGTGGAGATGTGTGAAGAAAAATGGTGCTGCGCTACTTATCCTAAAAGTGAATAAACCTGAATAAACAATACACATAAATAAAATAAAACCTATATGTGTATAAAAATCTGCACTACTAATAAATAAATGAGTGAACATTCACAAATCTAAACATGAGTGAACAATCAACATAAAACCATATAACTAAGTAATATCCACAGGAGTGAATCCACAAAGTGTGTACCAAGTGGCAATAAGGATAAAAAGTGGTCAGACAGTGACTGCAAAAAACATCAAGTGTTCAGTGGATAAATAGTATAACGATAACATATATGTGGGGCAGAAAACTAACATTGCACATCACCCTGAACACACCATCCACACAGTGAAACGTGGTGGCAGCATCATATTGTGGAGATGCTTTTCTTTAGGTGGTACAGAGAAGCTGGTCAGAGTTGATGGGAAGATGGAGGCAAATACAGGGCAATCCTAGAAGAAAACCTGTTAAGAGTCTGCAAAAGACTTGAGAATGGGGCAGAGGTTCAACTTCCAGCAGGACAACTACGAAATATACAGCCAGAGCTACAATGGAATGGTTTAGATCAAAGCACATTCATGTATTAGAATGGCCTAGTCAGGGTCCAGACCTAAATCCAATTGAGAATCTGTGGCAAGACTTTAAAGTTGCTGTTCACTGATGCTCTCCATCTAATCTGACAGAGCTTGAGCTATTTTGAAAAAAAAATAATGGGCAAAAATTTCACTCTCTAGATGTGCAAAGCTGTAGAGACATCCCTAAAAAGACTTTCAGTAGCAATTGCAGTGAAAGGTGGTTCTACAAAGTATTTACTTGGGGGCTAAATACAAATGCACGGCACACTTTTCAGATATTTATTTGTAAAAAATGTTTAAAGGTAGTTATCATTTTCCTTCCACTTCAAAATTATGTGCCACTTTGTGCTGGTCTATCACATAAAATCTCAGTGAAATACGTTTTCTGTTCTTGGTTGTAACATGGCAAAATGTGGAAAATTTCAAGGGGTATGAATACTTTTTCAAGGCTATATATAGCACTGTCCATTTATGCAGTGCTTTACACATATATAGTGTACATTCACATCAGTCCCTAACCCTCAACAAGCGTAAAATCTAAGGTCCCTAACTCACATTCATACATACATATATTAGGGCCAATTTAGACAGGAGCAATTAACCAGTTGCCATCCGCCCTGTATCAGGATTACTGCTATAGGGCGGGCTCCCTTCGCAAAATCAAGTATATACTGTATACGTGGTCCATTGCTCCCGCTGTGTTTGCACGCACGCATGCCTGTTGTCTTGGCGGTGCTGTGATTTGGTGTGGCACTGATCATTCAGCAGATTCAGTGCCCATTCACATATGTGGATTGAATGAGGTTTGAACTGCATCCAATCCGTATGACATGTGAAAAAACATTGCTTCTTATGGTGCCTGTTCACATATGTCCATTGCACTGGCAGTGCGGATTCAGTGTGGTTTTTGAAAAAGAGTCATGTCCAATTTTCTGAGCAGTGCGGTCCGGTTCAGGTGAGGATTACAGGCTATTGACTTCTATGGGCACCGTTTCTAACCGCATATGTGTGAACAGGATAAGATCCTGAGCTAATCCTGTCCTGAACCTGATGTAAACCTGACGTGAACCTGTGAACAACTACTGTATCAATTAGCTGTGAAACCTGAGCTTCAATCTGCACTGCACATGTGCGAATCAGCTCTCAGGGCAGGGATGTTCAGCCTGGACCTGCTGATTGATCACTGCCCTATCACAGATCTTCCTGAGCCTGTGTTTACATTACATGAAATGATGCAATCTTCTCTCACTGGGGCACATTCTGTTCCAGAGAGAGGAAAGCAGATTCACATGAGTCAAAAGCACTACACCTTACAGTAAAAGCACTGATAGGTTATATTTAACCCCCCCCGATTGCCTCCCAGTTAACCCCTTCACTGCCCTGTCACCAGTGTCATTTGTATAGTGTACAGATTTTTTTTACTGATCACTGTATTAGTGTCACAGGCAACTTCATCTAGCATTAGTGTCAGGTAGCGTCCCTCCCAGGTAGCGTCAGATTGCCTGCCACTACATCAGTCATCACATTTAATCCTCTAATTGCCAGGAAACAGGTCACATACACAATAATCCTCCATTGCTAGTATAGTGTCTGAACAGATCAATATGTTTGATCAGATCAGAACTATACCAGCGTTCACAATAGTATAGTGTCTCCAAAAACGCAGCGTTAGCAGCATGAGCCCCACACATGCTAGCACCTGTGTTTAGCCCCTATGCTTAACCCCCCCCATTCTCTCCCAGCAAGTGCAGTGTCAGTAGATCACTGCCAGTTGATACATTGCACACAAAACTGCAGGGTTAGCAAGCTCAAGCCTGATCTCTGCTTTCACTAGAGATTTTTCACTACATATTTTTTTGTAGCGGTTCAGGCAGTCCCAGACATTTGCTCTTTTTCCCATGAATCACACTAGGTACCTATAAATTTAGTGGCCAAAATGTCCAACAAAAAGTACTCTAGTGAAGAGGCCTACAGGATTCTGACCATGTCAGGTGAGAGCGAAGGAACATTCACTGACAGAATCAGGATCAGAATACAAACCTGTAGACAGCAGCGGCACCCGGACAGATAGCGCAGACGATGGAGTAGAGGTCCCTGCTAAGGTTAGGCATACCCGACCTTGTTCCAGGTTGCTGAGATGTTAGAATTGCATGATAAGAGTATCACTTGGTGATGTGGCGAGTCCCATAAGTGCAGAACAAGCTGGTGCAGTGGTGAGCACAAGTAGTGTCCCACAGCCACCAAGAATTTGCACAAAAAACAGTAGAGCCCATAGTGTCCATCCAGACGTGCTTGCAAATCCTGATTGGTAGCCCACAAATTCTGCAGCACCCGTGCTTCCCCCATTCATTGCCCAACCCGGAATTCAGATGGAAAACAGCAAATGTAATTTACTCCCCTTGATTTTTGGAGCTGTTTTTCATGGTCATAGTTTTAAAAAAAAGGTTAAAAAAAAAATAAAAAAAAGTAAAAAAAAAAAAAATAATAATAATTTTAATAAGTTACTGTTTTATTGTTAACCATTGCTGTTTTCTTTGCAGGAATGCCATTCAGCTGAAGCACTGATCTATTTATTCTGACAGCAACAGGGTCTTGCTCTCAGAATATATGTAAGTGTGTGCAGCGCTGTTGGATGAC